ATACAACACAAACCAGAGTTAGAAAGACTAGAAAGAACTAATAGGAAACATACTTCTGAGAAGAAAGTACATGAAGCATCTAGTTCTAGTCCCACTGAAGAGCCAATAATGGCCGAAAATCCAAATATTCCAAAGGAGGAATTGATGGGTTAATACTTGAACCTAAATTTCTCGTATCCTGTTGCGAGCATAGTGAGGCGTCAAATTCAGGCTAATAACTTCGAGATCAAGGCCTTCTTCCTGAATATAATTCAGCAAAATCAATTTGAGGGAGACCTGTCTGAAGATCCAAATCAACAAATCACATCTTTCTTGCAGATGTGCAATCTAATTAAAGTAAATGGAGTACCTCCCGAGTTGATTCGTCTGACATTGTTCTTTTTCTCTTTGAAAGAACGAGCACAAAGTTGGTTAGAGCTGCAACCTCTAGATAGTATCACCGCATAGGAAGACCTCTAAGGATCAGATTGACAACTTTAAAAAGCTCGAAGGAGAATCTTTGAGCATTGCTTAGGGAAGATTCAAGGAGCTTATGAGGAGATGCCTACAATATGTGCTTTCTAATGGTAGAAAGGTTTGCATTTTCTATAAAGGAATTTCAGCAAACTATAGGATATTGCTCAATGGTGTAGCTGGAGGAAGTTTATCAGAGGTTGCAACCACTAGAGCTGTGGAATTAATTGAGAAAATGGCAACGGAGGACACTGAGGTCATACCAGCACAGTCCAGGAGGGTAATCATGTAGTTGGAAGGATACGATGCATGTTAGCTAAACAAGACAAGATGGATCAAAGACTAGAGTCACTTTTGAAGCTCCTTTCTCAGACTTAGATTTTTGCAAATAATGCCCAGTTCCCTGTGGCATGCGACACTTGTGGTGGACCTCACAACGCCGAGAGGCCACGATTACTATAAATCCATCTCAGGTAAATTCTATTTGGAAAAATCAGAGGAGGGAGAATAAAACCCTCTTTGGAAGAGAGGATGAAAGCTCTTTGTGATAACCCCTATGTTAAAGTTCCATATTCGTAGAGGATCAAGCAACAGGAGCAGAAGAAGCAATTCTCTAAATTCTTAGAGAATTTTAAGAAGCTACACATCAATATCCCATTTGCGAAAGCTTTAGAGCAAATGTCGTCATATGCTAAGTTTCTAAAGGAGATCCTGACAAAAAAGAGGAAGCTCACAGCAGAATGATTCACTATCTTGATAGAGGAGTGCAGTGCAATCATGCAAAATAATTTGCCTCCAAAATTAAAGGATCCAGGGAGTTTCAGTATCCCATGCACGATTGGCTCGATGACAGTGGATAGGGTCCTATATGATCTTGGCCATTATCTCTAAAGAAAAAACTGGGAGTCACTGAGGTAAAGCCGACCAGGATGATACTGCAACTAGCAGACCGCTCCACCACACAATCTTATGTAGTCATAGAGGACATACTAGTTAAGGTGGACAAGTTCATTATTCCAATGGACTTTGTTATCTTGGAAATAGAAGAGGATGCTACTAGTCCAATGTACTTTGGGAGACCCTTCTTAGCGACCTCCGGAGCACTGATCGACATGCCAAAGTGTGAATTAATCCTAAGGGTGGAAGGAGAGACAACTGTGTTGAAAGTATTTGAAAAAAAACTCCACCACTTGTAGCTTAGCCAGAGAAGATGTTCTTCGTTGATAAGGAAAAGACTGAGGAAGATGACAAGAAAGATCATGAACCAGTTGAAAACTGCAAACCAATGGTGAAGATGGAAGAACCCAGGAGAAACAGAAAGCATGTAAAATCTAAATTCAAAGTTCTCGAGGCCATTCGTTCTCGCCCATGTGCACGGGAGTATTACTATAGTAAGGCAAAATTCCTACACAAAAGGATGTTGTCATCACTAAGCTCCAGCTATAAGCCACTATGATCAATGAAGCTGCAACATCAAGCTAATGACGTTAAACAAGCGCTTGTTGGGAGGCAACCCAACAGATTTATGTTTTTATTTCATTTTGCTGCATTTAGTTTTTGTTTTCGTTCCTTTTGTTTTATTTTAGTTTTAATTTCTAATCTCCATGGTGATATATCTGATAGTTTTCTAATGCTAGTTATCATTATTGTTATTACGTGCTCCTTGTTTCTGATGTGCAATGATTGCTGAGGACAACAAAATTTTAAATCCGGGAATGAGGAGCACTGCCATATACAGTAGCAGTCAGGTTCCCATTGTGCGTGGAGTTGCAAATCTTTTTAGGGAATTTTCCTTTCAATTGTTCCTTTATTTTTTTTATATCGAATTTTTTATTATTATTTCCCTTCCTTGGATTCATTTACTATTGAAAATTTAGAATTATGCCAATGGAAAAATAATAGGAAATTATTCAGTGAATTTAATCCATAAGTGTGTGATGACTTATAACATGTTTTGATTTTATGAACGAGCACTAAGTGAGTAAGTCTAAGAGTTAGCATGAATATTAGGATTGTAGTATGAGTGATTGAGAAAGAGTATAGTTAACTGAATTGCACACCCAGAGCCATGAGATTTTGAGCCTAAATAGAAAATTTTCTTCTTGGTGTGCACTTTACTGTTGAAAGTTCAGTAGAACTTGTTCTATTTCTCCTTGAGATGGTTGTTTTCATAAAATTTTAATATGATTAAGGCATTTTATTTCTTATTTAGCTACTTAGCCAAAAAGCTAACCGTTATGATATCCTTTGTTTAACTCGTTGAGCCTAGACCTGTTTTATTCTTGAGTAACCTGATATTATAATAGCCACTCCACAAATACATCTATCTTAAATAGGATTGGATTGCTGAATTTTCTTGGTAGAGTCTAAGCATGAGCATTATATAATGTGATGTTTAGTGGTGAAAAATGAGGTTATGAGAGTTGAGCAAAAACAAAGGTTGAAAAAAATGGTGAAAAATAAAAATATTTATTTAGTCTTGCCTTTTCAAATCCTATGCAAATAAAAGTGTCGAAAAAAATATAGAAAATGAAAACGAAAAAGAAGAGTATTGGGGTCTAAAGAGAAAAAATAGAAAAATAAAAATGCTGAAAAAGAAAAGGAAGAAAAAGAGAAAAGGGTTGCTTGTAATGTGTTTACACTTTACCATGATCTTCCTATTTTCTGATGCTTTAGCTAGTTTTCTCTTATTTATCCTTCCCTCAGCCAAGCCCTATTATAACCTGAGTGAAGACCTTTTAATTTTTTATGCATATTATTTGACTGTGGAGAGTGAGAATATGACCAAACTTATGTAGTATTGATTTATTGAAGTATTGAGCGAAACACTTACCCTTAGAAACTTAAGTAATGAGTGACTTGATAAATCTAGTAAGGGGTGTGTTTGGATTCAGTTTCTATGCTTGATTGATTAATCTCTTCTTATATTTTTATGACTTGCTGCTTTTGGAAACTGCTTGATTAGCTGCTTGTTCTCAGAGCTGTATTATTTTCCTAAGTCTGATCACCGATGGATTGATGAACTGTCTAGTTCCTTTATAGACGATTCATTGAGCACTCTTTTGCATTTTTTCCATACTATTAAATTAGTCCATTGCTGGGGACAAAAATGAATTAATCTGCGAATGATTTGATAAGTGTCAAAGACACTATGTTTTTACAATTAAAAATAGATTAAATAATGATAAATATTATTTAGAATATAGTGTAAATTAATTAAATGCAAAAGGATCGAGGTTTTAATGTCTGTATGTGATTCTGACTTCTTTTTATATTGTTTTCAGGTTTAAAATGCTAAATTAAAATTGTTATGCATCAATGAAGTTGAAGAAGTCAAGAATCAAGAAGAATTAAAAATAGGAGAAACCTCGTTCTCGCTCACTAGCTCGCTCCAGCAAGTAAGAATTAAAAATAGGAGAAACCTCGTTCTCGAAGAATTAATTTTTTTATGTCGTAAGAAATCATTTTCGTTAAAACTTTTGATGGAAACTAATTTTTTTTGAAAACTTCGACGAAAATATTTTCTGTTAAAAATTTTGACTCAAATTTATTTCAGTCAAAATTTCGACGGATAAAAAAATTTGTTGCTTTTTGTCAAAAAAAATTTCGTCGACAGGTAAAAAAATTTGTTGCCTTTTGACGAAAAAAATTTCGTAGGAAATTTATTTTTCGTCGTTTGAAACGTAGAAATTCTGTCGAAAATATTATCTTTTTTAGCAGTGGGAAAAATTAATAAATAATTTTTTTTAAAAAATTTAAATTTAAATTTATTTCTAAAATATAATAATTATATTATTTTTAAAAAAAGGATAAAATATTAAAGATATCTCACTAACCCTCCATTTTTCTTCCCTACTTTTTTTAACTCCCAAACCAGGGAAGGGAATACCCTTCATTTCCTTCCCCTTCCCTTCCCTCCCAAACAAAGTCTAAGGGGTTAGGTTTTGGATAAAGTAAAGAACTAAAATCACAGGGATTGAGAGTTTAGTTAGTTTAGAAAGAATCGTCGATAATTAATCTTGAATGTTAATTGCAAGAAAGGGTAAACTCATTAGGAAAACGTTAGGGAAATCGAATCCCTAACTACAGTTTTGCATATTTGAATGCAACTCGTTATTTTTTTTTATTGTTTGCGTTCTTGCATCTTAGGGGGGTGTATTGGATTAGGATTTTAAAAGACTTTTTTGAGCTAAAAAATCCTACAGATTTTAAAAGACATTTTAGAATTTGAGAGACTTTATAGACTTTTTTAAAAGACTTTTTTTACAATCAAAATTTCATAGGATTGGATTTTAAAGGATTTTAATAGAATTTATACGATTTGAAAAGACAATATGGATTTATAAGATTTTAAAAAATTATATGATTTTTTAACAAACATTCAAAATTACAAGAGTCAATAAAAACAAATAACAAAGAAATGCAATGATATTAATAAAAAAAATTAAACTTAACAACAGGTTGAAAATTATCTCAAAAATTACTAAGCAACAACTCTTCACATATCAATAAATTCTAATATAATTTTTAACAAACATTCAAAATTACTAAGCAACAACTCTCCACATATCAAGAGCTATACTAGTCCTCCAAGCATTAGCATCTTCTCGTTCCTGCTCTTGGGTTTGACCAACGAGTTGAAAATTATCTTCTTCATTAACTGGTGATACTGAAGATGAAGATGCATCTATTGATTCAATTGGAAATTCATCTGAACGACATTCTTTGCGAAGAAAGTTGTGTAGTGCTACACATGCTAACACAAGCTCTGCTTGTGTTTCAAATAGAAATGGAGGTGCTGACTTAAAAATTGTGAATCTTGATTTAAAAATGCCAAATATTCTTTCAATTACATTTCTCAATGATGCATGACGAAGATTGAACAATTTATTTGCATTTTGAGGGTCATTACCATGACCTGTAAAATCTTGTAGATGATATTGCACACCTCGAAATGGAGCTAAAAATTGACGTCGATTGGGAAATCCAAGATCCACAAGAAAATATTTACCTAATTATATATGCAATACATATAAAATTAGTATGAAAACTAAAAAAAAATATTATTTAAAAAATAAATGCTGACCTTGGGGCACTTCAAGTCTATTCCTCCTTGTTAAAGCATCAGTTAGTAGTTTGGAATCATGAGCTGAACCCTCCCATCCACTAAGAACATACATGAATTCCAAATCAAAGTTACAAGCTGCTAGTACATTTTGTGAAATTTTTCCATGACGATTACGATAACTGCTTATATCTCGTCCCCTCACCATTGCTGGAATATGTGTACCATCAATTGCTCCAATGCAATCCTAAAATTATTCATATATAACAATAATTATATTAATGAAATATACATATTATAATAATGACAACTATAATATAATAGTTATGATTATATAATTATCATGTACCTTGAAAAAAGGGTAAAACCTTGTGCTATCCATTAATTTATTGGGCATAGTAGATCCCGGTTTAGCCATCAAATCATATGCTATTAAATTCAAGGCCTTCAAACTCTTATGAAAATTTTCACTTGCATCAAATTGTGAGCGGCCAAATGTATTACGAATTACACAATATCGAGTATTTTGGCTGACAATTTGTAGGAATGATGCAAGCATTTCTTCAACGGAAATAAATCTTGTATCCTTCAAAGGTGTTTTTTCTTTAAGAATTATGCATAACTTACGAAACACATCTGGATACATTCTATATACTTATCGAAAGATAGCAGGATCCTCATTCAATGCCTGATGTATATAATCATATCCTATACTAGTAATTCGCCTTCTAGTCAATGGACGTTCAATATGTTAACCATCCATCATAATAAAAGATTGATTTAACACATGCATCAATGCATATATTGCCATCATCAACATGTACATGGCTTCATAAAATTCTTCATCTCTTTCTTCGTCAACTCTTTCTTCATCAACTCTTTCTTCTTCCTCTATGTCATTATTTTCATACATGCTCGATTGTGACATTATATGTATATAAAAAAATATACGAGACTGTAAACAATTTAAAAAGAAGAAAATAAAATCCCACGTGAATAACTCAAATAATTCAATAAAAATAAAACCAATAAATAGTTCAACCAAATTATAACCCAAATACTATAACCAAAATAGTTCAACCAAATTATATCCCAAATATTTCAACCAAATTACAACCAAAATAACATAAAAAAATATTAATCACCCTAGCTTGAAATTTATCCAAGAAAAGCACTCTTCTAATGACATGCTCAAGAACAAGTCCTTCTTTGCTTTAGTATTAAGCAAATCAACTTCAAGAATTGAGTCTTATCCTCCAAATTTGGAATCTCTTTTATAGCATTCCAAATATTACTTTCTCTTTTTCTATCTCTTTCTCTTTCATAGTTATTAATCTTGAAAATAAAAAATATTATTTTTAAATTTCTGTCTTTATTAAATCACATCATATTTTCAAAGACTTTCAAGTTCAATTCAACTTTAGTTATATAAATAATTATTGCTTGATAAATCAATCCTTGTGGGATTAACAACCTTACTTTTACCATTTTATTACGTGTACGACCGGTACACTTGCCGAAGTCGCAACAACAATCAACTCCTAAAATTAATGAAGCTTTAAACATTAAAGCCTATATATATAGTTTTAAACCCTATTTTGAGAGCGAATGTAAATAACTTATCTGCATTCACTATAGAAACATTAAAGTATATATATATATATATATGGGTTTATCATCTATCATTTAACATGACCACAAAAATTTTCCTACACACACAACATTTTGTGGGGCCCGCAGCAAAAAAAAAAAAACTTCGGCACGCAAAACGAATCTCTATAACATAACACAATCACTTTTCCTACAACATAACTCTTATAAAACCCTATATATATATATATATATATATATATATATATATATATATATTAAGAATTGTGCCGAGTGCATCCTTAAACTATGTGGTTTTGCTTCCCTGCCACACAGGTGGGAAGGTGCCGATTCAGCCTAGCTCCTTCACAAATGGAGTTCTGAAAGAAGCTAATAAATTTGCCTCTGAAAATCCCTCTTTCACAGTCAATATTAGCCGGGGAATTAGACCGGTAAGGTTAAGTTAAACAGTAATTTGAATACATATATCTCTATGGAAACTTTCTACCAAGCAAGCAGCAAAAATATAGTTATTATTATACTTTCTTTAAATGTTGGGCTGTGATCTCATGGTAATGAAATTATAACTTGATGCAGCATGTACATCTAACTTCATAAGAAAGTACTTGAATAACAAGACACGTATTGTGAAGTTGCAGTTTGGAAAGAAATTGTGGCCTGTAAAGTTTCTTTGTGGTCCATCCAAATTTTCTACACCCGGAAAGTTGTCTAGAGGTCCATCCAAATTTGCAAGAGAAATAAATTGGTAGATGGAGATGTTTGCGTCTTTGAGCTCATCACATAAAGATGCAGTGTTTGATGTTCATATTTTCAGATGCCACTATTAGGCAATCCAATTGGAGTTGTTGGTACCGTAACTCTGAAGATGTATCACTGCTCTAGAATGCATTGGATAAAATTCACCTTTTATTGTAGTTCGTGATCATTAGGAGTAGGGCTGTGCATGGGTCAGGTTGGGTCAGATTTTTGTGCCGATTCGATCCAACTTGGTTTTTATAGGTCAGGTATTTTGACCCGACCCGCTTTAATTTGATCCAAGTCAGGTCTGACTTGGTTTGGATTTTTTTGAACTAGTTCAAAATTGGGTCGGATCTGACCTGACTTGGTTTCTGAAGTTCTTCTGACTTGGTTTCTGAAGTGGGTCAAATCTGACCTGACCCATTTTTTACTTGGTTTCGTCACAAAATTTCGTCGAAATTTCTACGTTGCAAACGACGAAAATTTCGTCACAAAATTATTTTTTCGTCGGAATACTTTTTGCCGAAAAGCGACGAAATTTTTTCTCTAATGAAAATTTTTACAAAAATAAATTTTCTATCGAAATTTAGTTTTCGTCAAAAGTTTTGACGAAAATGATTTCCTCCATCAAAAGTTTTAAACGAAAAAAGAATCCGTCAAAAATTTTGACGGAATGTTTTTCGTTCAAAATTTCGATGGGAATGTGTTCTGATGAAAATTTCGACAGAAATTGTTTTGAGGGAAATGTTTCATTCGAAACTTTCGCCGAAATTTAGATTCTCTAAAGAATTTTGACAGAATATTTTTTCTGTCAAAATTTTTTATCGAAATATTTTTTGTCAAAAACTTTTACGAAATTTTTTGACAAAAATATGTTCCGTTGAAAATTTTGAGGGAAATATTTTTTATCAAAAAACTTGACAAAAATATTTAGTCGAAATGTGTTTCGCTAAAAATTTCGACGATTTTTTTTTTTTTTTTTTGTCAAAAAGTTTAACGAAAATGTTTCCGTCGAAAACTTTTGCCGAAATTTGAATTCTGTAAAGAATCTTGATGAAATTTTTTTCAGTCAAAAAATTTCGATGGAAATGTGTTTCGTCGAAATTTTGTATGAATATGTTTTTTTGTGAAATATTTTGACGAAATTTAGATTCCGTAAAAAAAAATTTCCGTCAAATTTTTTTACAGAAATGTTTTTAGTCATAAATTTTAATGAAAATATTTTTCGTCATAATTTTTTTGATGAAAATATTTTGCGTAAATTTTTTTGACGTAATTGTTTTACGTTAAAATTTTTCTTTTAATGTAATTATGATTTTTTTTCTTTGTTTTTCACATAATGGGTATGGGTCAAGTTTTGGGTCAATGGGTCATTATTAAAACAAGTTAGGTCTAAAACTAACCCAAATAAAGTGGGTCAGTATTTAAACTCAGTTAAAAAAAAATAGGTATTTATGGGTCAGGTCAAGGTCAGATCAAGGGCAGGGCAAGGGCAGGGCAGGGCATGGCAAGGGCAAGAGAACAAGTAAGGTATTTTTTTTTGCACACCCCTAATTAGGAGGTATATTTATCAATATAATGAATCAGAGTGTTATTTTTGTATAAAAATATTTATTTAAAGTGGTAGTAAGTACCAAAAAAGGCAGGCTCAGCTTGTTCTATAACTAAAATCGATTCTGAAATTTCAAAATTAATTATTCTATGAATAATTCCTTAGCTTTTTGTTTGGGAGTTTGGAGGGAAAATGGAAGGAAGGGAGAAGGAGGGGAAGGGAGGGAAGGGAAATGAAGGTATTCCCTTCTCTTGTTTGAGAGTTAAAATATGGTAAGGGAGGAAAAAAAGAGAGTTAAAAAGATATTTGTATAATTTTATCTTTTTAAAAAAATTAATATCATTATTATTTTTTACAAATTAAATTAAATTAATTTTTTTTTTAAATTATTTATCTACATTTCACAATAATAAAAAAGATCATATTTCTGAAGAAGAAAAAATTCCGTTGCAAATGAAGAAATTTTTTATTGAAAAGAGCTTCGTGCAAAGGCAGTAGAATTTACTCCGTCGTAATTTTTTTATCGAAAATCTTGCTTTTCCTTTGAAAAATAAAGCATTAACATAATATTTATGTAATGAGTTCAGTCAAAAAATTTCACGTGGATTGATGACATTTTTTATTTATGTAACATCCCGGGCGCTGACGAGGGTAAGGAGTGATCGCCAGTGCGAAAGGCATAGATAAGGAGCGGCTCCTGGCAGGCTTCCAGCGGGATAGTCATTGATTCTTGAAGCGACCGAGTATTACAATTTAAATTTTTGACAGGAAAATATTCCGTCGAAAATTTTCTAAAAATGGAAAAGAAAATTTGTCAGAAATTTTCGACGAAAATTTTTTTGTTTAAAATCTTCACTTAGATTGATGACATGGATTTGTTTTGGGTTTTTTTTTCAAAATTTTCGACGAAAAAAATATTTCGTCAAAATTTTTGATGGAATTTATTTTCTGTCAAAATTTTTGACAAAAATGATTTCTTAAATATTGTCGACAGAAAAAAATTCCATCGAAAGTTTTGAATCAACACCCGAAAGAGAGGGATTACTAAGACTGTGTTGGTATGAGACAGTACAGTTGATGATAACTTATAAGAATTAATTGGTAGTATTTATACTAACAAGATTTATCTACTTTTCGATAGTTCGAAAAAGAAGAACTCCATATTTAAGCATGCTTGGCTTGAAACAATTATGAGATTGTGGGCATAGTCATTGATCCTTGCAAGTTGACGGGCATTACAAATTGGGTGAGCTTACATTGAATTTAACTAATTTAATTTTTAAATTTATTTAAAGAAATATCGAATACTCTTCTTCACAACATAGAGTTATATAAAATGTTGTTTTATTTCTTTCTTACCATAAGTTAAAATTTATTAGAATAAAAGTCCTAACACAAAAAGTTCCAATAAAAGTAACATATCTATCTATGTAGCACCGACACTGACACGTGACACATGACACGATACAACACGACACTCCGACACGTTAATTCTAAAAAATATTAAATTTCGACACGTTAAGACACGTTTTGATATTAAATAATATATTTAATTTATGTAGTATATATTATCTTTAATATTCAATAATTCAACAAAAAAATGTATCTAAATTTATAATATTCATAAATTTTGCAAAGAAACATAAGATATTCCAAATATTTATATTAAACTCAATAAAATGGTAATCGTAATCTAATGAATCTAACAGTTGGAACTAAAAACTCAACGCAATTTAACCTTTGAACCGTTTTTCGAATTTCAATAACGCGTGTTGGAGTGTCGGAGTGTCCGAGAGTGTCGGGAAGTGTCGGACACGACACGTCAAGGTTTTTGAAGTGTCGGTGCTTCATAGATATCTATTCAGGGAAGAAAACAAATTACAATCTTTACAAAATAATTAACCTATGATATCAACTTTACTCTTAGTTTGCAGATTATTAACGACGACCTAAGTTAACTATTTTTGTATTAGAGTCTGCTTGGCGCAGATTTGCTTTAATTTAAAAAATAATTTTTAAACTAAAACTAAGAGTAAGAAATTAATTGCTGATTGTATATAATATTTAACTTAAAATCACTTTAAAATTCAATTTAAAAATAAATTATTTGATAAAATAATTTTCTTTTGTTTTTAATTAAAATTATCATAAAGAGTATATAGTTAAAATTCTCCATGTTATTTAGAAAAACAAAACTATATAATAAGAAATAAAAGATAAAATTTTAATAAGAATAATAAATACTTATTTATTAATATATTCAAAAATAAAAAAAGTATTTATATAAGTAAAGGGAAAAAGTATTTCTCTAGTCACTTGAGATAATTATCTCCAGTGAGCTCAAAACGATGTTGTTTTGGGTTATAAGATTAAAAAATTATAATGATAAAGACTAATATAACGACTGATAAACGACGTCGTTTTGGACTCACCGGAGATAACTTATCTTCATTTACCAGAGATTTTACCCATAAGTAAAGTTATATAATAATATATCAATTTTATAAAGGAAAATATTTTAAAATATTTGTGAAGTGCCACATTTGGCTTTTTTTGTAAATATTATTTTTATGAAAATCTCTTTGATTAAAATCTTATTGCAACTATTTTTTATATTCCTATCACCAGTCATGTGACACTTCACAAATTTCAGAAATTGCATAATAAAAAAAAATTGATTGTATTATTAGAAACCTTTGGAAAGCTTGAGGAGTTAGATGATATAAAAGGTAGAATAGACACATTCATCAAGTTTTAAAAGTGTTAAGTAAGGATTTGGATGGAAAAAATAAAACGGAATAAGTAATAATTTTTTTTATAGGGAATAAGTAAAATAAAAAAAAAAACATAAAAATCAAGTGATTCAAAGGAAAATCATATGAGGAATATTTATATTTTTTTTCTCAGAATAATGTAATCCACTCAATCTATTCTATTTCTATTCATTTGTTTATCGTTAATGCCATTTAAATTTTACTTTTTCACACTTTTAATAAAGGAGTCGCTAGCTACTACTATATTTGGGAAGACGTAGTCACGTAGCCACCTCTCGTAGTGTATATCATATTAAGCAATTGATTCCAACGTGCATTCAATAAAAGTTGAGAAAGTTGGTGATGTTCCATAAAAACGAATAAGAAGTTCTGCTATGTTATTCTGCTATGTTATTTGTCAAGATTCCAGTTCTTAGTCTGAAAGCCTAGGGAGATTTTTGCGGTTTCCACTGATATCCATGATTTTCCCCCCTTATTTTCTGGTGCGGTTTAGTGTGCGGTTTTTTCCTCATCTGTTTGCCTTGGGGTGGTGCAGGTCCAGTTCGTGCACACAGAGAGAAAGAGGGAGAACTCAGGTACCAACATCGATCCATGGCTTACCATTGCAACCGGCAAAATAAGCATCCTCTTCCCACTTCAATCCTTTTCTTCAAGATTATTCTTCCGACAAGTCTTCAAGATGGAAAGCTTGTAAACATTCTTTCCTTCATCTCCTCTTTTCTTCTCTCTGTCATTTTCATTTTTCTTTGTTATGCTTGTGAACTTAATTATGCATTTTAACAGAAAGTTCTTTGGCAGATGATCCCAAAAAAATTCACTGGGAAATATGGTGGTGAGATGTCAAACCCAGTGTTTCTCAAGCCTCCAGATGGCACTGAATGGGAAGTATTTTGGAGTAGAAAAGATGGTTATATTTGGCTTCAAAAGGGTTGGAAAGAATTTGCTACATATTACTCCCTAAAGCATGGCCACATGGTGTTGTTTGAATACAAGAAAACTTCTCATTTTGAGGTACACATATTTGACAAGAGTACCTTGAAATAGATTATCTTTTCCATGGCTCTCAAGATACACAGGACAACCTTGACCAGATTAGTGATGATGACTCAGTTAAAATTTCGGATGAGTTACCACCATGCCATAAGACTAGAATGAAATCACCAACGTCTTCTCCTCAACCATGTAAGAAATTGACAACTGGCACAAGTCGAGGTGTTAAGAGAAGAGCCACTGAGCAAAATCTGCCTCATCATGTCCAAATTGAAGGTACAAACTATGATGAGTTTAAATTTGCATCTGTAAAGAAAGAATCAGATGGTATCTATTTCATGATCGAATGATCCATTTCGTTTCATTGATCCAGTTGAGTTTGAGGTCAAATTTTCATAACATAACTCATGTTCTTCAATTTTTCAGAGGATATGGGTGGTACCACTGAACATGACAACCTTGACCAGAACCAGATTCATGATGACTCAGTCAGAAGTTTGGATGAGACACCACCGTGCCGTATGGCTAGACAGAAAGCACCAATGCCTTGTCCTAAACCATGTAAAAGATTAAGAACTGGCACTAGTGGAGATGTTGAAAGAAGATCCACTTTGCGAAAGTTGCCTCAGCGTGTCCAAATTAAGAGTAATCAATTTCACGGTACAAACTTTGAGATGTCTGACTTTGCTCATGTAACAAAAGAATCGGAATGTTATGTATTTCATGATTGGATTGTCCTTTTCATTTCTTGGATCCAGTTGAATTTTTTAGGTCAATTTTCTTTGTTCAATTTTTCAGAGGAAATGGATGGTACCACTGAAGGCTTAAAAGTGGAGCAGTCAACTTCTAAAAGTACTGAAGCTTTAAAGAAAACCACAACCTTCAGATCTAAAAAACCCTCTTTCACGATTGTCATGAAGCCTTCCTATGTTGATCGACATTGCTTGGTGAGCTTTAGATTTGCTTCATTTTTATCCCATAAGATGGTTTCTTATCTTTTGTTTGAAGCAGCAAAATAACTTTTTAGTTGTTAGATTTTCTAACTTGGAAAAACATAAAACATTCAGCATGTCCCAGTACAATTTGCTAAAAAGTATTTGAAGAAAAAGGAAAGGATTATCCTTCTTCAGGTTTTGGATGGAGGAACTTGGCATTGTAGTTATAGCCAGGGCAAAATTGTTGCTGGATGGAAGAAATTTGTATCAGAAAATAATTTGAAAGTGGGGGATGTTTGTCTTTTTGAGCTGACCAACAGCCAAGGCCTTTCTTTGCAAGTACAAATCTTGCAACTTGCAGAAGTACCCCATTCCCCTCCAGTCCAAGGTAATCCAAGTTGGTCTTTCTTTTGAAGTATTAATCTATTTGATCTACAAGTATTCATTGTAATTTTCTTGCTTAGAATCACTTCAAGGAGAGGAATCTATTGGTTATATACCCTTGGAGAGTACTGTGATGTTGGAAAGTAAAACTATTATTGCTAGAAAATGTAAATCTTAGACATGAATGCTGTGTGACCAATTGGTTATTCATATCTTATTATCCTTATGAAAAGCTGAAATCGAATAAAAGTAAAAATTCAAGTATAGATATTTCAAAATTGTGCAGAGTGCATCCTTAAATTAAGTGGTTTTATTGCATGCCACAGGTGGGAAGACAAATCCCTGCCCCTTCACAAATGGAGCTCTGAAAGAAGCTAAAAAATTCACCTCAGAAAATCCCTTTTTCAGGGTCAATTTTAGGCTGGGAAAGAGACCGGTAAGGTTAAGTTAGGTTAAGCAGCAAATTAAATACGTATATCTATGCATGGAGACTTTGTTCCATGCAAGCAGAGAAAATGCAGTTATATTTATACTATCATTAACTGTTGGGCTGTGATCTCATGGTGATGAAAATATAACTTGATGCAGAATGTACCAATTCCCTTCATGAGAGAGTACTTCAACAAGAAGACGCAGATTGTGAAGTTTCAGTTTGGAAATAAATTGTGGCCTGTAAAGTTTTTGTGTTGTCAACACGGAAATTCTAATTGCGGGAAGTTTTCTAGTGGTTGGTTCTTGTTTGCAGAAGTAAGTAAATTGGTAGATGGAGATATATGTGTGCTTGAGCTCATCAACAGAAAAGAGGCAGTGCTTGATGTTCATATTTTCAGAAACCACTGTTAGCTAGGCAATCGCTAATTGGAGCTGTTAGTGCTGAAACTCTAAATATGTATAGGTAAAATTGTGATTTCATTGTAGTTATTAATCCTTGGGAGTTAGGAGGTGTAGTTAATTAATATTATGACTAGGAATGTTATTTTCACATCATTAGGGCCTATATCATGAAAGGAAGGTCTTCTTTTATTACAGTATTACATATTTTTCTTTTTCTGATTGTATTCTGTTAGCAATTTGTATTCGGTTAGCATTTTGTTAGCATTGCTTTCTATTTGGCACCTGTTAGCTTTTCTTTCCTGTTTTGTAGCCACGTCACCATGAGTTTGTTACAACAGATTCTCTTAGGTGCTTTTATATACTGAATCATTTGTACCAATTACACACTGAATGAAAATATACAAAGTTAGTTTTTCTTCTCTTCCTTTCTGGAAATGCAGAGTGCTCAAATAGCTAATATGGTATCAAGAGCTTTTTGATGGCTCGAGGCAACAACCGTCCTCCGTCGACTTCCGACATGTCCTCCGGTGCTTCTTCAATGGAGGATACAGCAAGCCCCTACTCCCTGCAGAGCAGTGATCACCCTGGTCTTGTCCTTGTGACCCATACCCTTGATGGTACCAATTACAGCTCCTGGAACCGAGCTATGCTTTTGGCTCTCACTGCCAAAAACAAATCAGCTTTCATAGACGGATCTCTTCCCCGTCCTTCCAATTCCGATCTCCTATTTCCAGCATGGAATCGGTGCAACTCAATGGTCATCTCTTGGATCCTTAATTCTGTCTCCAAAGCTATTGCAGATAGCTTGGTTTATTTCTCAAATGCCTCTGACGCCTGGGATGATCTACGCACTCGCTTTCAGCAAGCCAACGGACCACGCATCTTCCAACTGAAACAAGATATTTCTTCTCTTCATCAAGGATCTCTTGATGTCAACTCTTATTACACAAAGTTAAAAACCCTCTGTGATGAGCTCCAGGCTTACATTCCCACTCCTTCGTGCACTTGTGGAGGTCTGAGACAAGTTTCGCTTTCACAAGAGCAACATGATGCCCTTCAGTTCCTCATGGGCCTTAATGAGTCCTTCTCCTCTGTGCGAGCTCAGATCCTCTTAATGGATCCTCTTCCATCAATTGCCAAGGTTTTCTCACTTGTTCTTCAGGAAGAGAGGCAACGCCAAATCAACATTCATGTTCCCACCTCTCCTGATACACCCCTCCTCAACTCCATATCCACATCCCCTAACCGTCCTTCTTCAACTGATTCGAACCCACCGCCAACCACGGCTGCCGTCACCGCTCCTCGCTGTTCTCGCTCATTTTGTACCTACTGCCACAACTAGGGTCACGTTAGAGATAAGTGCTTTAAGCTCCATGGGTTCCCTCCTGGATACAGGCCCAGGCCACCTAGGCCAAATTTGCCCACCCACTCAGCCCATTCACCCAATGCCTCAGCCCAAGCCAATTCCTCTGTGTTTCCATTCCCTCACCCTCATTCTTCGATCCCTAACTTCCCCAATACCGTGAACCCTAACCACGCTCCACCACCCTCAGCTGCCATCACACAGTCTCAGTATGCGCATCTTCTATCGCTCATCCACCAACGTTCTGCTGCTCCGGTCACTTCCTCCTTAGCTTCGGACACTGATTCCTCCCCATCTGTCGCAAGCTTCAATGGTAAGCGTCCTTCTTCTTTTTCTGATTCTTGTTGGATTTTAGATACTGGTGCAACCCACCATGTATCATTTTCTCCTCGCTTGTTTTCTAATTCTTCCATCTCACCTCCTTTCACTGCTTCTATTGTCTCTTTTCCTAATGGTACGTCTGTCCCTGTAACTGGCTCTGCTTCCATTATTTTGTCTCCTTCCTTTACTCTCCAAAATGTTTTATTTGTCCCCTCTTTTCGTTTTAACCTTTTGTCAATTAGCTCCCTGACCCATGATTTGTCTCTCATCGCTAATTTTTCTTCCTCCCATTGTTTGATACAGGACCCTATAACGGCCAAGACGATTGGGATTGCTAAGCGTCATGAAGGTCTTTATGTCCTTGATACATCCAATTTTTTTCCTGATTCCTGTATTCCCCCACCCCTCTGTCTCTCTGTAAATTCATGCAATTCTGAGCTTTGGCATGCTCGTTTAGGTCACCTCTCCTATTCTGTTTTAAATTCAATGAAAGATGTTTTACACACTACATCATTTTTAGATGCGTCTTATACATGTAACGTTTGCCCTTTGGCCAAACAAAAACGCTTACCATTTATTTTAAATCCCAAATTGTCCTCTTCTTCATTTACTCTTATTCACTGTGATATTTGGGGTCCATTTCACCCTCTTTCTGTTGAAGGATCAAAATATTTTCTCACAATTGTTGATGATGCATCTCGCTTCACTTGGACATATTTTTTACGATGCAAATCTGATTTTCGTTCTGCTTTCATTGATTTTTATGCTCTCATTTTAAATCAGTATAATACTGCCATCAAGTCAATAAGATGTGATAATGCTCCTGAGTTTCTTTTGTCTGATTTTTACTCTTCCAAGGGTATACAATTATTTCACTCTTGTGTTGATAGACCGCAGCAGAACTTGGTGGAAGAGCGCAAACATCAGCACATTTTAAATGTTGCTCGCGCCTTGCATTTTCAGTCCAATATTCCCCTGGAATATTGGCAAGACTGTGTGTTAAGCTGTATACCTTATTAACAGAACCCCATCCCCTTTGCTTTCTCATAAATCTCCCTTTGAAATCCTATCTCACAAACCTCCCACCTATGACCACCTTCGCATTTTTGGTTGCCTATGCTATGGTTCCACCCTACCCAAACACAGACACAAATTTTCCCCTAGGGCTGTACCTGCTGTATTTTTAGGATATCCACCTGGCTATAAAGGATACAAACTCCTTGACATTGCCTCCAACCGCACTTTTATCTCAAGAGATGTCAACTTCATTGAAAACGTTTTTCCTTTCAAAAATTCATCCTCTCCAATTACCCTACTGCCTATATCAACTCCAACCATTCCTCCCAACCCCATTACTGTTTCTTCTAGACCATCCAGAACTAGAAAGCCTCCTAGCCACTTAGATACTTACATCTGTTCCTCTTCCACAGCCCATCCTCTTTCTGCTTCTTTTTCTTATTCAAAGCTTTCCCCTACACATACTGCCTTTGTTAATTCCCTGCATAATCATTTTGAACCTACATCCTATGGTGAAGCCTCCCAGCTCCCTGAATGGCAATCTGCCATGCAAGATGAATTATTGGCTTTACAAAATAACAAGACCTGGACAGTTGTTTCTCTTCCTCCTGGAAAATCCCCAATTGGTTGTAAATGGGTATATAAGGTCAAGTACAATTCTGATGGCTCTGTTGAAAGGTTCAAATCCCGTTTGGTTGCCAAGGGGTTTACACAACAAGAAGGAGTTGATTTTTCTGACACTTTTTCACCTGTAGCCAAGCTTACTTCAGTTCGGGTGATCCTTGCTCTTGCTGCACTCAAAAATTGGCATCTAATTCAGTTAGATGTCAATAACGCTTTTTTACATGGAGAGCTCCTTGAAGAGGTATATATGACTTTACCCCCTGGTTATCATGGTAAGGGGGAGTCTCTTCCCAATGCTGTTTGCCATTTACACAAGTCACTGTATGGTCTCAAACAAGCATCTAGGCAATGGTTTGCCAAATTTTCTTCTACTTTGCTCTCTCTTGGGTTCACACAGTCCCAATCTGATTATTCCTTATTTGTGAAGCATTCAGACTCTTCTTTCACTGCCATGCTAGTTTATGTCGATGACATACTTGTTGTTTCTAACAATTTTCATGAAGTGCAGCACTTTACATCTCTATTGGACAACAAGTTTAGGCTTAAAAATCTCGGTCCAGCCAAATATTTTTTGGGTTTGGAGGTTGCTCGTTCCTCCAAGGGTATCTCCCTATGCCAACACCATTATGCACTCCAAATTTTAAAGGATTCAGGCCTCTCTGGGTGCAAACCAAAATCCACCCCATTGGAAGTTAATTCGAAGCTGTCAAATCATGATGGGGATCTTCTACCTGATCCCACTATTTTTAGAAGACTCATTGGCAGATTACTCTACTTAACCATCACTAGACCTGACTTATGCTTTGCTGTCAATCACTTGAGCCAGTTTATGGCTACTCCTCGGGTCCCCCATCTCCAAGCTGCTCATCGGATTCTGGCTTATGTCAAAGCCACACTTGGTCAGGGGTTATTTTTTCCCTGTTCTTCAATTGTTCAACTAAAGGTTTTTTGCGATTCTGACTGGGCGTCCTGCTTGGATAGCAGACGTTCTGTTTCTGGCTTCTGCGTTTTTCTTGGCAATTCTCTAATATCCTGGAAATCGAAGAAGCAACATACTGTTTCGCGTAGCTCTGCCGAAGCTGAGTATCGTTCCATGGCTCATGCTTCTTGTGAAATTCTATGGCTACTTAATCTTCTCAAAGATCTTGGTTTTTCGCACCCTTATGCTGCACACATGTTTTATGACAATCAATCTGCCATACATATTGCTGCAAACCCAGTTTTCCATGAGCGTACAAAGCACATTGAGATTGATTGCGACCTTGTCCGCGATTGCATTGTTCGTGGCACACTCAAGACTTGTCATGTTCAATCCTCTCATCAACTAGCAGATATCCTCACAAAAGCTTTGCATCCATCACAGTTTTCCAATCTTCTCTGCAAGATGGGGATTATCAACATCTACTCCCCATCTTGAGGGGGAGTATTACAGTATTACATATTTTTCTTTTTCTGATTGTATTCTGTTAGCAATTTGTATTCGGTTAGCATTTTGTTAGCATTGCTTTCTGTTTGGCACCTGTTAGCTTTTCTTTCCTGTTTTGTAGCCACGTCACTATGAGTTTGTTACAACAGATTCTCTTAGGTGTATACTGAATCATTTGTACCAATTACACACTGAATGAAAATATACAAAGTTAGTTTTTCTTCTCTTCCTTTCCGGAAATGCAGAGTGCTCAAATAG